TAATCTATGTTCGAAATCAGTCCAAATCTGTCAATAATCTATGTTCAACCAGACAAACAGAATCTATGTTCAAAATCTGTCCAAAATCAACCCAAAATTCTGTCCAAAATCAGTCCAAATCTGTTCATAATATGTGTTCAAACAGACAAACAAATAACTTTCAAGCTTCCAATCAGATAACAAACAATCCACATGATTACATATTCATACTTCTTAATCCATAATTGTTATATATCATAAATCTTCATACATATCATCTTCATAATTAATACAACACCAATTACATGTTCTAACTTGTATAAAAATTATTACATCTTCATAATTAATATAACACCAATTACAAGCAAGATGAAGATCCCATTAATACAACACGAATTTCTATTTATGTCTCTTTGCAATTTTTGCATTTGCGCGTTCTGAAATTGAAGTTGTTCGCTTTGAAATTGAAGATGTTCGCCCATACTTTGAAGTTGTTCGGTGACAGTTGGTGTATTGTCCATTCGCACTTGCCCTTCCTCCGTACGTTGTGAATTTGTAGGCAAGCACCATCCAATAAACCCACTACAATCAGGACAACAATAAAATAGCTTATTCTTGTTTCGTTCCGTCTCCGAAATTCGAATGATTGCTTTTTTCCGACATTGAGGACAATTTCTGTTGCAATATGTTAATTGATTTGATGTACTGCCGTTAACACTTGAAGTTGACATCTGCAAAAATATGAAGCGAAATCTGAAGTTGACATTATCACCTATAAATGTAACATCGATTGCCATATATACTTAATTCTATAATCTAACTCATATATTGCTCATTCTGAATTTTCTAGTTTGTATAATAAAAAATAACCTAAGTTCATTTTCTAGTGCTTGAAGAGGTAGCATATAGATTACATTCAAAGTCATAAAATAAACAAGTGGTAGAGGATGTTTAGAAGCTGCATAGTATGAATACAGTGGCAGAGAATGTTTAACAAGTTTCTTGGTTGTGTTCTTCTCCTTTTCCAGATTGCGTTCTCTTATTTAACTAGTTTATTAGTTATGTATAGAAAAGCAATACTTAGATGAAAGGGCCAAAGGGTTAGTGTTATTCCCACAAAAAATGAGCTTTGGATGGTTGAGCAATATTGGTGTCAAGCTTTGGATGATTATGAAGTTATTGACATGACAAGAAAAATAGAGAGGACATCAACTACAACATTCCACATACTTTTGACATAATAATTGCTGTTCTCTGACTAATTTGATCAGAAGTTTTTCATTAACTACAAAATGTTAAATTCCTTTCAATGCCTATGTATTATTTAGGCTTCCTTGAAATTTCTATTTGTTGTCCCTTTCTAGAACAATTGATCTCCCGCACTCTTGACCTCTTGTAGTGAACCTATTTCCAGAAACATGTATGCTTCATGCTTCTAAAAAGATAAAATTTGATTTCCAGATTCTGTTTGACCCTTATATTTCAACCAGATGCTTCATTCTTTGAATCATCTAAGCTTTTACACATTTCCATTACAGAAAATTTCAGCTAAATTGCACATATGCTTTATTTACTATGTATTATGCAGTTGCTAGTTCCATGTCTTTGGTGCCCTTTTCAATCCTTTCAATTCTTTTTTCTGCAGGTTGTAGAAGTTGCGTTCAACCTCGATTGTCGCCGGGGTTGGAGAGCTACGCTCGTCGTCTCGCCGCTGTTGGAGAGCTACGCTTGTCGGGAGCCCTTCGACAAAGAGGCACAACAAAGAAGAGAAAGAAGAATAGAGAGAGAGAGAGAGAGTCTTCAAATGTTTTGTGAAAATAAATTTGAAATTTGAAATGAATAAGAAAGAAGGAGAAACGAGTGAGTTTGCCTCAGCTTTCCACGTTGGCAGCCACGTCACTAATGCTGATTTAGTGATCAAGTTTTAGAGGTCGGAAGCATTTTTGAGTAAAATATTATTATGTACACTTTTCATGTTTTGAACTTTTCCGAAAAAAATCATCTTTGGACAGTTTTTGTTTGTTTTCAACTTTAGGTTTTTCAATTGAATTCCGTCTAAGTTCTTCTATCAAGTTTTTCTCTCAACCTGTTCAGTTTCTGTTAAATTCCTTCGCACTGTCTTTTAGGAAATTTGATTTTGTACAATTTCTGTTCTTTGAAGTTTGGTCAATTCGAATTATTTAAGTATGAAACAATATATTTTTATACTTCTTTAACAAGTTATTTATGATTAAATTATACTAACTTTATTTTTTTGCAGGATGGTGGATCTTACTAACTTTTTTATGTAGGGCTGACCCACCATATTTTTATTTCTATTTTGTTTATTTTATAATCAATTTATATTTTGTTGTGTACGGGCAAGAAACTAAATGCCACCGTATCTAAGGAAACTACTCATTCGTCTTGGTGTGGTTGGAATTACTTGTCTTGCCCCGTAACAAGAATTAAATGTATTTTTGTTTGTGTTTGGTGGACACGTGGGTGTTAAATCTTGTACTCATACCAGTATACCTGTATACTGGCCCAGTTTGTCTATTGACAACTCGGGTGCGTTCTGTTTGAGCGCAGCCGAGCTTTCTTTGCAGGATTATTTTGAGGCTATGGTGGTGACAAAAAATAATTATAATCGTAGGAAATGTCGTTTGGACTTCTTTTGTTTTCTTGAGCTTAAGGTTGATATTAATTTATATATTTATTATTTTTTTTGTGACTTTAGTATTGGGATAATTTGACATGGTTTGTAACAGTACATTATTTAAGTTGTTTTGGCTATTTTGTGTTACTTTAATGTTGAGGTATTGGTTAGTTATGAAATTATAGTGGTTGGTTTGGTTGGCGTTTAGTTTTTTTTTTGTTTCACCCCTAGAATTTGGATGATGGAATATTGATTGAGATTTAGTCTTACTTTAATATTTAATTGTCTAAATTTTGGGGCGTGACAGAAATCTTACAATCCAAAAACTATATGTGAGTTGGTTTTGGTAGTGTGAGCTGGTTTTGGTAGTATGTTTTCATTTTTTTGAAGTGAAAATATCTTTTAATATATATTTTCATCAGACTAGTTTATATTTTTTAAAAAGAATCAAAAACAAATTTTGTAAACTAAACTATAGAAAGTTAATTTTTCAAACAATTATTATGAAAAATATTATCCTAAAGTTTAGAGGCTCATATCTAGCAACCGACGAATTATAAGGTGTTACTGTATACAATTCATATATTGGAACAAATTAACTATTTTATAATTAAATTGGTTTCATAATTTAGGGGCAGTGAAAAGTTTGTTAAAAATATATATATATATATATATAAAAGGCTTGAAAGACTAGAAATCTTAAGCGAAACAAAGATAGATTGATTATCTAATCAAATGTTTTCATTCATTGAAAAAAATTCACTACGTAAGTTTTTTAGTATTAAAATCAAGCAATTGAAAAATATTGTTGATATACTTTATTTGGTTATGTAAGAATAAAATCATACGTTAAGGTTTCTTTTTGAGAGTAAGCATAATATTATTCTTTTAGAATGTTAAAATATATATTTTTAAATAGAGATTTATTAAATTTAAAATACTCACTACAGGAAATTACGGATTTAACGGCGTTTATTTAACGGCGTTTAAGTAAACGTTACTTTTTCTAACCATTAACGGAGTTTTTTAAACGTCACATTTGTTATAAATTAAAACGGTACCGTTTTGTGAGTGGAAGACGTTTGAAAAGCGCCTTCAAATTCGACTCTCTTCACACCCACTTCTGTCTCTCCAAACCTTTATTTTGAAAACCCTATTTTGAGCACCGCCGTCTAGACGATTGAATCCTGTCTCACTCACTCTCTTGCTCTCTCTTTCTCGTAGAGAATCGAATCTGTTTCTCCAAATCTCTCTCTCAGAGGATCAATTGTTCTTCAGTCTCTTACTCAGTGATTCTTCTTCGATTCTTCTTCAGTTCGGTGATTCATCTCAGGATTGCGATTTCGAAGTTCAATTTTGAGCACAGCTCCGTGATTTATCTCCATGGATTTGGAACTCTTCGTCTTCTTCGATCAGAGGTTAGTTGTTCTGTTTGTGATTTATCTTTGTTTTGGATCAATGTTTTGCTTAGTGAATACTTTTGTTTAGGCCTCTATATAGGTCTTAATCCCTTAGGGCTCTCGATTCTTCTTCACTCTTTTACTCAGTGATTCTTCTTCGATTCTTCTACAGGTCAGTGATTCATCTCGGGATTGTGATTTCGAGTTCGATTTTGAGCACAGCCCCATGATTTATCTCCTTCGTCTTCTTCGATCAGAGGTTAGTTTTTTTGTTTGTGATTTATCTCTGTTTTGGATCAGTGTTTTGAAAAATGCTGAATTAGTGTTTTGAAAATTTAGTCTCAGTTCATACTCCTTGAACACGCTGATGGTGAAACCTGCTACCATCTCTTATTAGTGGTATGTGTTATCTTCCCACATCTTTGAACGGCAACAATTCTCAACTTAACCTGGCTCTTCCCTTCTGGCTTCCCGAGTTTACTTTTATCCTTTTGATGCTTGCAATCATATCTTCTAAAAAAACTGGTAAGCACAGGCATGTGAATGAAAATGTTTGAGGCACTTGGTCTCTTGAAAGCCCCAAAGAAAACTTCATATATTTTGTAGACAAATTTAAATAGTCCTGTTTTTCTTCCTAATGTGTGAAAGTGAAATATTGATTGAGATGGTCCATGCTGTATATTGTTCATCAATCCCTCTGAAAAAAATAAAAATGAAACTAGATAGAAGTGAACATCTTGATTGTTCTTGGAGGTTTATTTTATTTATAATTCTTACCCCTAGGAGTTGATGATAGTGTTTTTCAATCAATATCTGGTCACAAGAAACTCACACTGCTTTCACTGTTTTCTTGCAGGTTTGTCCCATATGCTCCATAAAAGTTGTGAGTGACATGTTAAGTCATATCACTCTGCAACATGGACATTTATTCAAGATATCCTTTGAAATGTTTTATTGTGTATTTATTGTCTCCTTAGCATTAAACAACATTCATAATTGCTGTATGGTTAACCTTAGAACCATGTTCGGTACCAATTGAGGTTTTCTTTAACTGAACATTACATGCAGAGACGTCGCAGATTACGTAGAGTTGCAATTCCCAACAGTCAGGCACTCTCTCTCTCGGGAAGGGATCTTCGTGAGGCACATCTGCAGGTTCTTTTAGGAGGCAGTGGATATCGATCGAGCAATGCAAATTCATCTAATGCAGTTATTGATCCATTCCTTTCCTCTCTTATTTTGAATTTCCCTTCATCTGAATCAGAAGACATTTCGAAATCCGTGTTATCCAGTGCTGATGACAGTTCCATTAAGAGTGTGACATCATCGCATATATGGAAAGCAAGGTAGTGGATTATATCATTTTCTATGATAAGAGAGAACCTTCAATTTTTAAGCACTCTATCTGCTCATCGTTTGTTTAATATCCATTATTTTAGGGTTCTAATTTCCATTTTTGTTTTTAAAAAAAATCAATAATAGAAACAAAAATATGTTTGGTAATTTTTTTCATTGACAAAAAATGGAACAATTTTCAAATTTTTGTCAGAAAATGATTGAAAAAAACAAGTTTTCATTCCCTCCCCCTTGCCCTCCGGCAACCCCTGCTGCCTATTCTCCCCTTCCCCTCTAGAAAACACTTTCTGGGCACTCCCCCACAATCACCAAACAAGTTCTTTTTTTTTTTTTGGAAAACATATGTACCAAACATGCTATTTGTTATTGCCTTTCGCAAAAATAAACGATAACATATTTTTTGTTTTAAGTGAACAAAAAAAATGAAACTGGTAGATTGTGAATCTTGGGCATGGTATTTGTTTCAGTCCCTTGCATTGTTGAATGCTGATATATATCTTATCCCCATTGCCCAGAAACTGTGCCGATTAGAACTGTGAATAGGCAGTGTTCTTCTGGTCTTTAGGCAGTTGCTGATGTAGCTGCAGCTATTAAAGCTGGATTTTATGATATTGGTAAGGGTCATCTATTATTGGGGGATGGCTTGGATGTCAGCAATCTTGATGCCTCATCTGTTCTTTATTTATTTCTTTAAAAATGTATGCATCTTCTATATAGGTATTCGTGCTAGGTTGGAATCCATGACAGCAAACCCAATGGCATGGGAAGGATCAGTCAATCCAAAAGTATGCTCTTTTATATTTCTTTCAATGTGTTTATTGTGGACTTGGATGAATTTTCTTGGGGAGGTAATTTCCTTGACATGATTTCCATAGGTGCTGGTCAGATCTTCCTATATTTACATCAGGTCAAGACAATGGCACAACACCAACATTGCCTACTCCCAACGGGTGTTACTTCCATAGGTGCTTATAAGATCTTTTTATATTTTATATTTAATTAGACTTTTATATGAAAATCTAATATCTAATAATCTAAATAGAATTAAAAAATAAAATATTGATAAAAACATTTATAAGTTTAAACGTGTACTGATTTTTTATTATTGTATACTTTAATGCTATTATTATTATTATTATTGTTATTATTTTTCAAAAAGAATACACAATACATTATATTCGAAGTGTACACTATAGGAGAGAGGGGTTTAGGCGACGTTTTTTTAACGATGCATTTTTAAACGTCACGCTTTTTATTTCTCACTACCTAGCCCTTTGACCTAATAATTATTTGTTATATATGTAATGGAATTAGTCAGGGGGCATTTGTATAACGTGCATACAGAAACCCAAGGGAGCAAGGACACACTACTATACTTGGGGATCCCAAATCCTATTATCATTTGATTTTGGGTTCAATTTAATGAATGGTTTTGGATGGAATTTACCTCTGTTAGTTTAATAAATGGTTTTGGATGGAATTTATCCCTGTTAGTGTTGAGAAGGAACTAAAAGGACAGAGTAACATATTAGGGCTTGTTTGGCAGTATTTACTTATTTTTATTTCTCATTTCAAGATGTTCTTTTGGGCTGATTTTTATTTATTTTCCTTCGAGTAATACTTTACAAACAGAAATGAGAAGGATATGGTTGATTTTGTTCCTAGCAGTCCAAAATGATAATCAAAAGTGCTTATTTTCATTGTTTTGAGAGAAGATTCGACAAAAATTTACCATTTTTAACATTTCCTTTGAGATCACTTTCATTTCATTTTAGCAAATCTGCAGATAACCACACATTTTTCTAATTTTTCTTTTTATTTTTTTCTTTTTCCTGTGTCAAATTTGCTACCAACAGCTAATGAGTAAAGCTTAAGTTTGTTTTGTTTATTAGTCACTTGGTATCTATGACCAGTGAAGATTACAGATTCTGATTTGTGAAGTCACAATTATTATAACCTTATTACTATCTGATAGAAGCATGTTAAAATATTTTTTTTCTAACTTTTTCTGCAATTTCAAAGCCTCAGAAATGACTGATTTATTTAAATTGTTCAGAAATGATGAGTTGTAATGTAGATCTTATGTTTTATAACTGTAACACTTCTACCATTATTGATTTATGCACTTTACCTAATTTGGCTTCCATATTTTGATGCAGACATCCAGACCAGTGAAGATTACAGATTCTATGCTATATCAACTGGGTTCAGTGAATTTAGTAACAAGGACAAGACATTAAATTAAATCATGGGGTTTGTCTTAATGTTTTTCTTGTTATTTTTTGGCGAATGTTAAAACATAATTTGTGGATATGTTATTTTGTAGTTAATGGTAATTGTATATTAAATTGAATGGGAAAGTGAATTAATGTTGTATTTGCTACTTGACATGTTTTCATATAATTGGTTTATCTTTTGACAAATGTTCATTTGAATAGGAACGGGAATTCTTGATTCATATTAGTACTATTTTTCAATTTTATTACAAGTATTTTTTGGTTCAACCACATAGAATTACCATAATTTTAAAAAAATAAATTAAAAAAATAAAGATATAATGGCGTTTTTGAAAATGCCATTATACAGTCAACGGTTATATTTTTTAAATCCAAAAAAAAGCAATGACGACATTTTTAAAACGTCGCTAAAAATTGTCATGAGTTCAGTTTAACGTTATGTATCACATTTAGCGGCGTTTTAACCATTTAACGACGTTTTTAAAGCGGCCCAATGTTATAGCGACGGCCGCATCTTCGATGTTCGGTATTAAGCGCCACAAAAAAAATTAACGACGTTTTTAACACCTATAGCGGCGTTTAAAAAACGCCGCTAAAATGTGAATTTTCTGCAGTGACTTAAAAAGCATGTTCTAAGATTCCTAAATCACATATTTTCTAAAACTTAGTATCCAACGGAAGTTCTTGAAAAAGTAAACAAGAGTGAATGAGTTTTAAATTGTGTAACAATTGACTAATAATAAGTTGTCACATCGTTTAGATTGTAAGAGTTCTTACCTAATGAATTAAAGAAAAATCTTCTCCATTTTTTATATATAGCATTTTTCTATATTTAACAAGGTTTTGAAAAGTGGTTGCGGTCGCCGTAACGGTGGCGGTAATACGGTTGTGGTTGCGGGGTGTAAAGGTCGTAGCGTAACGGTTGCGGTAACCGGAACCGTGAATTTTTTTTATTTTTAACACAATTTAAAAAAAACTTACCGATACGTATATTTTTTTTCTCATAATCATATTTATTAAGTTTAAAATAAATATTGATCAATTTTTGTAAATTTTTAAGTATGATCCAATATATTTTATATTTTTAAATTACTATAAACTGAGTTTTTTACATTTTATTTTAATAATTAATGATTTTATATTATACAAAAAATCTATCACTAACTATTATATATAAAATAAACAATGACAAAAATAAGAGAATAAATAAGAGCCTAAATATATATATATATATATATACATATTTTAACCAAGCCAAATAGATAATGGCCACATTTATTATTATTATTATTATTATTATTATTATTATTATTATCAAACAATATATAGATACATACACACAAACAAAATGGTTGAGTGATAGTAGTTGAATAGAATAGCATAGGTCTTACAGTTTTAACAAATCAATAACATGTTCTTCATCTTCCCTCTTCTCTCTCTATCTCTTGCTCATCTATCTTCTCTCTTTATCTTCCCTCTTCTCTCTATTCCTCTTCCACCATTTTTCAGCTTTTTTTTGTGTGTTTTTTCGAAAGAAACAGTTCGAAACCGTTACATAACGGTGCGTAACAGGCCATTACGACTATTACGGCAACGTTACAACCGCTACGACAGCCGCTACAGCCGACACACCTGTGAATCTCAATCACACTGCAAAAGCAGCCGTAACGGGTGGCAGTAACTACCAAAACCGTTACGTAACGGCGTTACGTAACGGTTATAACCGCTTTTTAAAACCGTCTTTCTGGTGCCAAGACGATGTTAGGCTCTTCCGTAATTTTCTTTCTTTGATTTATATCTTCAATTGTAGAATAATAATTTAAAGAATTTGAAAATAAAAGAACAAATTAATTATAAAAACAAACGAGACTAAACGTGGAGATGGCCGAGTTGGTCTAAGGCGCCAGATTAAGGTTCTGGTCCGAAATCCCACTCGTCACATAATTATTATTTATCTTTAACTCATTTTCTTTCAACTTCACGTATTTCTTCTTCAACATTTCATCTTATATATATTCATCCATTTCCACCTTCCTCTGAGGAGCCATCTGATCTGATCTTCACCCATTTCTTTCTTACCCATTTTCTTCATCTTTGCCCATTTCTCTATCTACCTTCCCTGAGGAGACATCTATCAGTTTACCCGTTTGTATATGTTGACATCTAACCTTCATCTTCCTCCATTTCTACCTTCTTCTAAGGAGACATCTGATCCTTAATTACCCATTTCAACTTTCTAGACAGACTCATGGTTGCTTGGGATTGAATAATGCTAAATACATTAAAAAAAAAAAAAAAAGAGTAAACAAAAGGTGTATTATGTCATTAAAATTCATTTTGGATTTAGTGTGATTTCTGACTTAAATAAATATCGATCACACAATACACTACCTGTGTATTTTCTATATTTTATTGTTGCAAATTGCATAACATATATAAGCATTATCTTCTTGAATGTGTACCGCTAAGTCTACATGATAATTCTGTTGTTTATAGCATACATTTATCAAACTGATCTACGAGCTTAATCAAACCATGAACCAAGCTCATTTGTATATAATAAAAAAACTCGCAAAATCAACAATCATTTCACTTCATTGTAAGAACACATACATCAAAAAGCTACTATTGGATTATAAATTCAAGTGGAATTAAAAAAAGGAGGAAAAAAATGGAACATTAATCAATGATCTCCTAAATCAAATAGCAATAATAAAAACACTCAAAAAATAATCAATAGCATAATAAACATATTCAGTCCGGCTCATCTTAGCAGAAACTGTGGCCTCCACCGCTCACTTTAGAAGCAGGAGGTATCTCAAAATGCCACAGCCTCCCCACAGACTCCACCCTATTTTTCTCACACAAGAACTCATGCGCAAACGCCTTCTCAACCCTCCTATTCACGTCGTGAAGGAAAACATGTGTCACCCCTGGGCGCATTCTAGCCCTAGCCATCACTGCCGCCGAGAATATCACCGCCATCCTCCCCGGGGCCTGCTTGAAGTAACCCCTCGGCCCATCAATCATGATCACATCCCACTCCTTCTCATAAAACTCGTCCGGAAAATTGCTGAGTGCTAACTTGCACGGGGTGTTACCGCGGAGGAACACGTTAGGGGGTAGGCATCTCGGGTCGGACCGGTACGAGGAGAGGAGGTGATCGGCGTCGGAGAGCTGGGTCTCGTAATGGACGGGGTGGACATGTAAGCTTGGAGCGTTTTTTAAAACACGTTGGACCCACCGAATATCTTCCTCAATAAATAGGGTGGTGCCACGTGGATTTAAAGAGGACCACATGAGAGAGTCGTGTCCGAGTCCGAAGACGAGGAAGTTGCAAGGAGAGAGAGTCTTGAGGACATCGAGGGTGATTTGGATCTCGGAACGGGATTGTTGTGGGACGACGGGTGAGGTGGCGTAGTGGAGGATGGAGAGGAGTTGGATGGGGGTGGTGGTGTCGGTGGTGGAGGCGAGAGAGCCCGCGAATGTGCAGAGGATGGAGTTGGTGGTGGTGGCGGATGAGCGGGTTAAGATGGTGATCATCAGAGTGCCGCTTACTACCACGGCAATCATGAAGGTGATGAAGAATGGCTTCCCAATAACCACATTTCGATTCTTCATCTCTCTTTTCTTTTTCTGTTTCTCTCTCCTTCTCTTTCTCTTTTTCTTCAACTAGAGAATGTCAAAATTGCTCTTTTTTTTGGAAGAGATTGAAGAAAGAATGAGTTTATACTTGTTGGGGGAGTGCCATCAGGCTCAGTGTCATACTGAGTAGGTGGCAAAAAGGCATTCGTAACTCAATAAAAAATTTCCACCTGGCTAGACCAAGCTTCATCTTGCTATACTAATTAATTTTGAGAATTGTGTTCCATTCTATAATTGTTTGTTTATGTGCGAGGTGATATAGCAAAAAAAACTTTACCACTAAAATAATGGCAACCAAAATTTGTTAATAATTAAGAAGTAAACATAATTTATTTAATGTATTTTATAATTACTCATTTATTAAGAATATTACACAAAATATGTTATGTCAAAACCATCTAATTATTGTGTGTGATGAGAAGTTGCTCTGGGCATGGACATTGCCCCAAACGGATCAAAAGTAAATAATCATTTTGGGTAGAATACATTTGTAATGTTGAAAGAACCTCTTTCAGGTCGTCTTCATTCATGAAGATGCAAGTTGATGCTTGGTCGTCGCATTTTTAATGATGGTGCCATGCGATGGTCCAACAGAAAGGTGATACAATGTGACATCAATCAATGAAAATTTTAAAATTTCCTTGGATCATATATTTAAATAAAAAATTTTGAAACAAAAAAGAAAAGGTGAGAATTTTTTATTTTATTTTTTCTTTTAAATCTCTACTTAAATTTACAATCTAAAATATGACAAATGGAGGTTAATTAGATGGGAGGATTCAGCTTTTGAGATTTTCTCATCTTATTAAATTCAATACATCTTCCTTCTATAAAAAATGTCCAAAGAAATTCTTCCTTCATATTCTGAAATTTTATGGTGTACACCCCGTATAGGGTGTGCTTCATATTCACATTTAGTTACTGTGTGGGTGATTTTCCGATCATACTGCCCAACTTAGTAGTCAGTTTGAGAGAACTGGCAGAATAGATGACACCAAGCTGACCTGTAACAGAAAGAGAAGATTCTGGCGGTGGTTCGTCCACCTGGGGGCACTCCGACGATCAAGTTAGTATATCTCTCAAAGATAATCAATAGTGCTAAACTCACTATTTAGAATATAAATTCCGTACCTTAAACCTATGGGGGTGCCTCTCTTTTATAATTAACTCAATCCTTGTCCCACTAGAAGCCTAGCTTCTACGGACTCTTGCTCACTGTTTATCCTGGACTCTTCAAGAGATAAAGATAAACTCCCTAAGAGCTTTATCCTTATCCATACCAAAGTTCTTCATCATTCTAGGACTCTTGTCCCCTATCCGCTTATCTCGAATTCCGATATCTTCGGAGATAACCTCGGCCTTGCCGAGATAACCTCGGCGTCATGTCCTGGACACGTGGCACCTCGGCTGACACGTCGGCGTCACCTTGGCCACGTGTTGGGATTCAGAAAATATATCCCCACAACTGCCCCCTAGGTTCTATTACCTCGGTATTTTGAGGTAATGGAACCTATATCGGTACTTCCTACCAGTACATCGGTTTAAGCTGAGCTCTTTACTATAAGCCGAAATGTCTTCTTAACGACCAAGATTTTCAAGAACTTCTTCACGCGCATGAGCTGTCATAAACTCAACCATTTCTAACCATGTACTTTCCTCTTACTGGATCGTGCTTGTGACGCGCTTCTAAATCATCTCGCACATGCATGCGCCGTCTGACGCTCACGTTGTTTTAGGTGCATTAATTTCATCTGTCGTCGTTTCAAGTTTTAACAAAAACTTTTTCCCTTTCTTCGTCGTTTCACTATTTGTTCAATCTTCTAGCTCTTTCTCTCTTTAGCTCTCTTCCTCTGATCCGTCATTACTCAAGCCTTCTGAGCTCTGTAACTTTGCTTCATTTACCACCTTCGGTGTGATTTCCACCGATTTTCCGTCTCTGCAACCGTCGTCAAACTTCGGCAAATCCCATTTCGGCTTCCCTCTTTCTGGTAAGCCACTGTTCCTTCTGGTTCTTTATTTCTTGTTGATTTTTCAAGAAATTTTACTTTATCATTAGTCGCCATTGTTGTTTTACTCAAACATTTGATTTATGAATCGTGCATTTGAATGTGTTTATTTCATGATTTTGCCCTTGCTCATGTCTTGAAAGCACACACTGCTTACAATTTTTCTGCAATTTTGCAACTGTTCTTGACCTTGTACCCTTTCACACACTCTGTCACAGTGTTCTTGGTAGTTCACCCTTGTTCTTGATTCTGAAACACGTTCTTGTTTTCTGTTTTCTGTGTCTTTTCCAGATTTCTGCCTCCAACCTTGCTTCCATAGAGTTAGGTTTTGGGATTTGCTTGTAGAACCCACAAGTTTTTAGAAAAAACTGAAACGAACTCCTTTTAGATCCATACAAACCCTTACCACAGTACATTTTTAGGTTTTTAGCCGAGGTCATTTAAACCCTTTTAAAACACCTTTATTCTGAAATCCAACCCCTTGAGTTAAGAAGATATCATGGCTATGTGGAAGCATAGGGTAGACACCCTGACAAAATTAGAATACTTCAGGAGAGAGTTTTTTATTCCTGCCGACGTCCATCTAAGGTTGGCTAGAGATGACGACTTTATCATGCCCGATGTAAACCTCATGTCTTTCCCAGTAGTAGCGTTTATTGAGTGTGGACTTAGGTTTCCACTTGACCCTTTCTTCCGTGAAATCCTCCACTTCTATAACAAAAACTTTTTCACTCTCTTCGTCGTTTCACTGTTTGTTCAATCCTGTAGCTCTTTCTCTCTCTAGCTCTCTTCCTCTGATCCGCCATTACTCAAGCTTTCTGAGATCTGTGACTTTGCTTCTTTTACCACATCCGGCGTGATTTTCACCGATCTTCTGTCTCTGCAACTGTCGTCAAACTTCGGCAAATCCCATTTCGGCTTCCCTCTTTTTGGTAAGCCACTAATCCTCCTGGTTCTTTTATTTCTTGTTGCTTTTCAAGAAATTATGTTTCATCATTAGTCGCCATTGTTGTTTTACTCGAACATTTGATTTATGAATCATGCATCTGAATGTGTTTATTTCACGATTTTGCCCTTGCTTATGTCTTGAAAGCACACACTACTCACAATTTTTCTACAATTTTGCAATTATTCTTGACCTTGTACCCTTTCACACACTCTGTCACAGTGTTCTTGGTAGTTCACCCTTGTTCTTGATTCTGAAACACGTTTTTGTTTTCTGTTTTCTGTGTCTTTTCCAGATTTTTGCCTCCAACCTTGCTTCCATAGAGTTAGGTTTTGGGATTTGCTTGTAGAACCCACAAGTTTTTAGAAAAAACTGAAACGAACTCCTTTTAGATCCATACAAACCCTTACCACAGTACATTTTTAGGTTTTTAGCCGAGGTCATTTAAACCCTTTTAAAACACCTTTATTCTGAAATCCTGTTCCTCCTAGCTTAAGTCGATATCATGGGTATGTGAAAACATAGGGTAGACACCAAGACAAAATTAGAATACTTTAGGCGAGAGTTTTCCATTCCTGCCGACGTCCATCTGAGGTTGGCTGGGGATGATGACTCTATTATGCCCGATGTAAACCTCATGCCTTTCCCAGTAGTAGCGTTTATTGAGTGTAGACTTAGATTTCCACTTGACCCTTTCTTCTGTGAAATCCTTCATTTCTATAGGTTGAACCCAATGCAACTTGCTATTAATTCCTATTGAATTATTAATGGTACCGTAGCTTTAGCCAAACAAGAGAATGCTAGGATTACTCTTGCCGACTTCCAGTTCTGTTATACCATGTGTCGCCTGAAATTAAAAAAAGGCCACATCTATTACCTCAAGCCGAGGTCTACGGAATACAAAATTGTTTCCGACCTCCTTGACTCCAACAAGGGAGCGGGGGATGATTACTTTATCGTTTCGGATAATTGGGAGTTTCAGCCAAACAATGACCTCCATCTTTATCCCCTAAATTGAACAGTTTTCGGGGAAGGAGCTGGTAAGGGCCACCCTTCACAAATTTTCTTGCTTTCTTGCATAAAGTTTTCAACATTCTTGCTCTAATGTCTATGTTTTTTTCTTTTTTGCAGTTCTCCTTCAGCTACCAAAGGGCTTTCGTCAGTCTTTCTTCCCCAGCAAAGACTTGAAGAGACTTTTGGATCTGCCAGTTCTTAAGCGGAAGGCCCCTCTGCTTCTCAACTTCATCCCTACTTACAAGTCGGCTCTTCCTGACGTCCCAAAAAAGAAGAAGAAAAACCTTTCTCCACCTTCTACCACAACTCCAGAAGTCGCGTCCACATCTCGGACTGATCATGGATCAACCTCTGATCCGGCCGAGCAGCCGTTAACCTCGGCTCCATACCTGATCCCGATATCCCAACGACAACGCCGGCGACGAACCACTTTTCCTGCTGAGATGGGTCGTCAAAAAGCTGTACAAAAGATCTCCTGGCCAGTATCCCCTCTAATGTCGACGTTCAGCCAACGCAAACCCAGCCTCCATCAAAACAAAAAAGAATAAAAAAGGCTCAACTAAAGGCAAAGGTGACTCAGGTTGATACTGAGGACACCTTGCCGATTTCTAAATTGCATGAGAGTGACAAATCCCAGCCTACCACGGAGAAGAGGCGTGCCGAGGCTCAACCCTCTAATTTTTCGAAATCAAAGAGGCCGAGGTCATTCTCTTCAACTACCTCGGGGTCCAAAAAACATGATGCCCCTTGGGCCCCCAAAATTACCTTGGAAGACAAGCCAGTTATGGCCAACGATAGCGCTGATGACATCAACGTCGACGTAGCCCTCAGCACTGCTCTGCTTCTCCCTGGCGATCTTGACCGAAATGCCGAGTTGAGCGAGTATGAAAATTACGCTCTGATGCTTCAATGCACCGTTCAAGTAAGTGTCTTTATCTGGCAATTTCTTCTTTCTTTTTTGTTCTTTCCATACTTGTAATTTTTTCTAACAACTTTTGTTTTGTTTATTTTCAGGCCATCTAGCACGCCTATTCTTTCTCAGTTCAATCTTTTGAGAACCGGGAGAGGCTTGCGAGATGAAGAGGGAGGTCTCTAGTCTTCAAAGAGCCAACAAGAGTTTACAATCAAAAATGAAAAAACTGGAAGACCAGGCCGAGGCTGTCATAAAAGCCCA